CATCCTGTGAGCACTGTAGTGACGCTCTTTAAACTTATGTAATTCCTCATAGAGCTTTTTATCTGTTACATTATCTCGTAAGGTAACCAAATTACCCCAACAAAATTTTGTTGCAGGATGATTTGATCGTGCAAAACTACTAAATAATTGCTCTTTTCTACAAAAATCAGAAGGTAAAGCCATCTGAAACTCTATTATGAATTATTTAATATTATTATAAATTAAATTAATTAAATTTCATTACGTTAAAAATTTTCAATATATACCACTTTCTACTGCTTCACGTTCTCTTGTTATTGCATCTTTCTTCATTAAAGGTTTTATAAAAAATTGAGCAAAACGATCAAGTGCAGACAAAAGATATTTTTCTTGTATTTCAAAATAGAATGTTGTTAATTCACATTCAGTAGAGGCATTGTCTGATCCACCTCTTTTTTTAATGAACGCATCAAAATCATTTTCCTATAAATTCATATAGAAATTAAACAAAAAATTAAAAGTTTTAAAAATTTTTTATTTAAAATGACTACCTCAGAATACTTTTCTGATCCCATGAAAACCATATGTTCCAAAAAATGTGCTAAACCTGGAATTTCTGGTGGATCACTGAAACTTCCTACACCCACTGATAATCCACATGCTGCCTGTGTAAGAAACATGCGTAGCAGCACACTGAGAATATTAACATTTTATATATATTACATAAATTAAATATTAAATTATATATTTTAATAAAAAATACCATTTTCTCTTCTCTTTTTAATCGTTTGGAAAAAGTACAAGAATCTTCTACATCTTTATCACAATCTGATTGATTATCCTCTGTATCACTTTCTGATTCAGTTTCCTCTTCATCCTCTTCACTGTTAGTTTCTTCATTTTCTTCTTCATTTGTACTTACTGAATCTATTAAAATTTTATTATAGAAAAATATAATAAAATTATAGAAGAGTTATTCAATTAATATATAAATGGAAATGTTTAAATTTTCTATTAAATTTTTTCTTTTACCTTTTCTATCATTTTGATCATCTGAATGAAAGGAGTGTAAATCAGCAATTAGAAGAGCAGTCAAACCATTTTCTAATTTAATTACTCTACATAAAAAAAAAATAATTTATTAAAATTCAAAAAAATATAAAAACAAATCCATATATATTCTATTCATTCAATATATTTTCTATTATTCTTTACCTATATTCCTTCTTATCATTCTCCGATTTTACAGGTGTTTCTAAATATGTAACTTTTGTTCGTGATTCTTTTGAAACGCATACGGAAAATTCTTGTATTCCATTTTCTGTTTGCATGTCTTCAATGATCGTTGTGTCTCTCTTGAGGTTATGTTCTGTGAAGGGATCCACGTTTTTTGTTGAATTAATCGAGCATTGATTTGATTTTAATTTTTTTTCAGGTGGACTTTGAAGTGATCTCTTGGGCATTATTGTTGTATAAGGTTTTTTAACCTTACATTGGAGAACCTTTATGAAAAGGTATCTCTGCAAACGCGTTACCATACGTTGTGAAACAGCCTGTTTTTAGTTACCTAATCTCACTGTCATAAATTTAGTATCTCTTCACCTGTTTATTTTATACTTTTCTTTTGTAGTAGAAAATTTTTTAAATCAAATCTTTTTTGTTAACAAAGAATATCTATTTTTTTCTGATTTTTCTATTTTTTGTATAAAATACTTTTCTTTTTGTATTAAATATTTAAAAAATCATTTAAAATTATAAAAATGCTTACGTAGCTTAATTTTATTATTAATATATTTTTTATAATAAAGTTTTTTATAATAATTTAATACAATTTATAAATTTGTATGTAAAATAATTCTTTGAAGACTTTTTCTACTGAGCGGTTAAATTTAAATTTTAAATTAAAAAATTAAATTTTATATTTCATATTTAGCAAGTGTGTAAAAAATTAGAAGACATGATACGTCATATAATTTAGAACAATAAATCTAATAATTATATTCAATTTGATTAACTGAGTACAAAATAATTAAAATTCATTTTTTTATTTCATATTTCAAGAGCACAAGGATTCATTTATCATTTTAATATCATTTTCAATGTTACCAATTTGGCTTAGAATAATAAGATTACAATGTTGGTAATTCAATAATAATAAGTTAATGTATGGATAATTAACTACATATTTTAAAAATATTTTACAAAATTATAAATAGCGAAAATTAATAAATGAACATTCGATATAATTATTAAATAAAATTAAAATTTCTTCCTGTTTCTTCCTTCATTACTAGGTCAAGTTTTCGTTTTTTTAAATTTCATTTCTTGCGTTAAAATATACATTATATATCAGGATAAATTATTTTTTGCTAAATTATCAGTCATAAGATATATTATAAAGCCGAAAATTTAATATTAAATTTAATATCTATTTTTTATATTAAAAATTAAAACACATTTATAGTTTTTTAAAAGAAAAATGATAAAAATGTTGAATATTCCACATCTTGTTTGTAATCACGTAAAAAAGTATGGACAAGAAAGTAAAAATAATAAGCGAAACATAGAGATAAGATAATCAACATCATTTCTAAAGTGTCGTAAATGAAACAAACTGTAACAAGAGCAAATAATGAAAAGAATAGAAATAAAATAAAAGTTGACTATCAATGTCATTGTAGAGTGCTAAAAATTTTTCTAAAAGCATTCGATAGATAAAGGTGAGAGTCAAATTATATTTTACTTCTGTTTATTACAATAAATTAATATACAGATTAAATATAAAAATATTATATCATATTGGATAGAATCATATTATATTATAAGATATATTTATTATATTTAATCTATATTTTTAAAAAATTTAAAGAGAATTCTTTGATATTTAAGAAACAACATTGATTCCTCAATTTTTATCCTATCTTATCTTGTCTTTTTTTTCTTATTTGTATGTGCTTTTTTTTTAAATTTATTCGGTTCGATTTTATCTAATTAATTTTATTATCTTCTTTGCTTAATCTATTGATTGGAAATTTTTATAGTCTATATAATCTTGAATAATAAAAATATTCAATGTTCTTATATATTTATATAATATATATATAATGTATATATTTTATTTATGTATACATTGATATTTTTATAAGTTATGTCATTAGAAATATATTTA